GTTTTTTTGCCTATCTAGATGGAACTGAAAAACTATGTATTATCACAGAAATGACAAGGTCTCTAAAATCCGGGTTTGTTTTTTATTTTTTATTTTATTAAAGTTTATCTTAATAAATTGAAACCCTAGAAATATGTTGTGCCATGGTTTCGAGTCCAAAATTTAAACTACTTAGTGTGGAAAACCACAGGTAACCATTTTAGTTGGTTCTAGGACAGTGTCAACGCAGGTGTTAAGATGCAAAGTGTATCGTTCTGTAGGAGCATGACCATAACCTAGGACACAGAACTTCCCACAGGAAAGCCCCACTGACAATCAGCAGATACACAAGAACAGATTTACCTCAAGTGTCCTGACCTGCTGGACAAAGGAAAGCAAGACAACGGCAAGCCAGCATTCTGCCTCAGCTGATACAATGGCATGTCGTACTGTGTCAGTAAGGGAAGCAATTTCACTGCAGAGGAACGTGGCTTCGCTTTCTGGTTCCTGTGTTCTTCCATTGTCTTCTTAGTCTTACTGGCAGCAGTGTGCATGCACCAAGTTTTGCTGAGACTCTGAGTGGGGCTTCCTATTTACCAGTCTGAGCTCAATCCCTTGCTCTCTAGCCTTGCTTCTTGCATTTTCATCCTCCTGGGATCAAATTCCTTCTTCTCATTCTTTGATTGTTCTGATGAGGGTTTATTAGTAGTAAATCCTGTCTTTGTTTAGTACTTGGTCTTTAGTGATGAACAAGTCTTTACTGAGCACTCAATTCTGAATGACAATTTGGGTATAAAATTCTAGATTGGCAGTTCGTTCCTCTCTACCCTTTCAATATATGATTCCACTCAGTTTTGTCTTTTGTGGTTTTTTTTTCATGAAGTTTGCTTCTAGTTTAATTTTAATAAATAATCTTCCTATTTTATTGGTTCCGCTCTTTGTCTTTAGTGTTTGACAGCCGCACTGTTTTGTCTAGATGTGAATTTCTTATGTTTTCTGCTATCCTTATGTGTCCTGAATCTGAAGATGAGTTCTTTTATTTCTAAGTGAACTCAGCCAGTATCACTTTAAATGCTTTATCTTCTTCATTTTCTAGTTTCTCATGCTTGTACTCTGTATGGACATAGGATAAATTTTTATATTCTATTCTACATACCTCTTTTTTTTCTTTTTGAGGCGGAGTTTCGCTCTTGTTACCCAGGCTGGAGTGCAATGGCGCGATCTCAGCTCACCGCAACCTCTGCCTCCTGGGTTCAGGCAATTCTCCTGCCTCAGCCTCCTGAGTAGCTGGGATTACAGGCATGAGCCACCATGCCCAGCTAATTTTTTGTATTTTTAGTAGAGACGGGGTTTCACCATGTGGACCAGGATGGTCTCGATCTCTCGACCTCGTGATCCACCTGCCTCGGCCTCCCAAAGTGCTGGGAATACAGGCTTGAGCCACCACGCCCGGCTATTCTACATACCTCTTAACCATTTATTTATTTATTTATTTTGTCTCCTTCTGCTATCTCTTGATAGTTTCCTCAAATGTATTCTGTCTCTCTTTAATTTGTTATTTAATGTCATGTGTATCCTGTTCACTAAGTTAGTATTTCAGTGATCTTTGTTTAATTCTGGCATCAGAAAGTTGTATCTAGTCTTACTTTATCCTGTCCATTAGATTTTATTATTTCAATTACAGTAATTTTCATTCTGTATTTTTTGCCATCTGTTCTTTAGAATCATGTTTTTTTTTAAACTATAAATCCTTATATTTGCCTTTACTTATATAAAAATCTTGGTGAGTTATACGTAAATCTGTTCTTGTGTATCTGCTTTCCTGTGGGAAGTTCTGTGTCCTAGGTTATGGTCATGCTCCTACAGAACGATACACTTTGCATACTCTTAACACCTGCGTTGACACTGTCCTAGAACCAACTTAAATGGTTACCTGTGGTTTTCCACACTAAGTAGTTTAAATTTTGGACTCGAAACCATGGCACAACATATTTCTAGGGTTTCAATTTATTAAGATAAACTTTAATAAAATAAAAAATAAAAAACAAACCCGGATTCTAGAGACTTTGCCATTTCTGTGATAATACGTAGTTTTTCGGTTCCATCTAGATAGGCAGAAAAACCTAACCTGCCAGCAACTATCAACCTTAATAACTCACCCACCCCCATCTTCAGTTGCCACAATATCACCTCAAATATCTACGTCTATTTATTTTTTGTATTTCTAAATGTTTTTTCACATTGTACGGTATGGCTGTATAACTTACCTTTATTTATAAGCTTTTAGATTATTTTAATTTTTCTATTCTAATACACAATATTTCTATGAAAATTCTCATAGGTATTGAGTATTACGGATATTATTTAGGATAGAGTATAAAGGTTACATAACTAATTTAGTTTCAATCTTCCAGGTCCTGTGAAAATTTTTAGGTTGTATGAAATTTTGTCCAGCAGCATTCAGCATCACAGGGAAGGCACATACTTGGAATCAACCAGGTTGGGTTCTTCTCTTCAGAAGAGTAAAATAAAGGAAAGAGTCAGTGGGCTAGGCTGGGTGTGGTGGCTCATGCCTGTAACCCTAGCACTTTGGGAGACAGAGGCAGGCAGACTGCTTGAGCTCAGGAGTTTGAGACCAGCCTGGGAAACATGGTGAAACCCATGTCTACGGACAGTACAAAAATTAGCCAGGTGTGGTGGCCCGGGGCCTACAGACCCAGCCACCAGGAGGACTGAGGTGGGAGGATCACTTGCGCTCTGGAGGTTGAGGCTAGAGTGAGCTGAGATTGTACCACTGTACTCCAGCCTGGGTGACAAAGTGAGACCCTGTATTGAAAGGAAAAAAAAGAGTGGGCTTGAGGCCCCAGTGAAGTGAGAGCAGTTGAGTGATTACACTCTAAGGACAGGAGGTAGTGGTCAGAACAGCATGTCCGAATCACTGATTTGGGAAATGGGATAATTCTTGGGTGATGAAAAGGACTAGAAAGTAGGTGATGGACTTTGGTGACAAAATGCAAACCTTGTATATAACAAAGAGCGTTAATGTTCAGAATATGTGAGAAAATTTTCACAATAACTAAAGCAAAGACTTTTCTCACCACAAGGAAATGCTAAGTGCCGAGGTGACAGATCCGCAAAATACCCTGATCTGACTATTGCTCAATGCGGCATGTGGAGAGACATCACGCTGTATCCTACAGATATGCACATATCAATTACAACTTTTAAAAATACATAAGACTTCCTTAAAGTAACAACAACAACAAAAGTCAGGAAAAGCAGAGGCCATAGCATTGAATCAGGCCATTTAAATGGACACTGAAGTCAGTCAGGATGATGAACTCAAGTGTAAGACTTTAGGAGAAGTGTGAAAGTTTTCACTGAAAATCTTCGATAGATCTGAAGGTGGCAGTGCCAGGGAACTGGCAGTGGGGGTGAGTAGCACATGTTTCTAAGGAGCAAGAGATTTTCTAATGGGAAGAGAGAAAGACTCATTTCCAAGCAATTGGAAGGAGGAAGGAGAATCTATAAGCCACATTCCCACCTCAAGTACTTCGGAGTGTGAGAGAACGTATATTCTCTACTTGAGACATAAGGGAAGCAATGCCCTCAAGGGAAATCCAGGTTACAGTTATAGCCAAGAGATGCAGGGAACTGTCACTGACAGAGTAGCCAAAGGCAATCAGGACATGTGCTTGTCATGCAGCTGGATGGACTTCCAGAGAGGACAACTGAACATTTCGTGCAGTGTGGGAGGAAAGGGGTGCTGGGCCAAGGGAGAAAATTCAGAATATAGTGATAAGAGTGCAGGAGAGAACAGGAGAACAAAGGGGCTTAGGGTTTGGATGGTGATCACAGAAACCAGGAATGTTCAGTAGAGAGGGTTGCTCCATCAGACCAAAGAATGGAGAAGGGTGCAGGAGCGGCCTCCTTAGCCATCCCACGTGGAGTCAGACATCTCAGCTAGTGAGCCAGTCCAAACCTAGTCATTAGGTGTCCAGGAGTATGGAGTCCTCCTGCCAGCATTGGCCCTATTAAGAGTAAGGCATAACCACAGGGGCACAGGGCCTGAGAGGTCACTACAGAAAGTAAAGTTGTGCTCTGAAGCGCCCCCTGCAGGACCCTGTCCAGAGAGTCAGCAGGAGGTGAGGCCGCTGGTCAGCACTCTGGGCTATTCTGTGCTCCTTCCCACCTGCCCCTCCATTGGCCCAAGTTCTAGTCCCACTTGCTTTGTCACCCACTGCCTCTGGCAGCTTCCTCTCTGGCCTTCAGTGTCCTCATTTATCCAGTGAATACAGCATCTCTCCTCTAATCACAGGTATTCATGCAGCGATAGAAATGATGTGGAAGTGCTTTGAAAAATGTACTAAGTGAAAGACTGGGGCACTGACTTCCCATCTTCCCAAGTCCTGCTTCAGAACCACTCTCCTAGGCCCCAAGCCCCTAACTCCATCTTGGCCCTTTGACCAAACTTTGCCTACTGAGGGGCCTAACTACATGGTACCCCCAGAACGGGGGTGGATACTACAGCCCCCATTTCTTCTCTTTGCTATTTGCCGTGATCACTCTTAAACCTAGAGACTGGGCCCCTTTCCCTGGTTGGTGGGGGTGGGGCGCTCTCCCTAGACCAAAAGGGCGGGGCACATAGGAATCATAATGGGCATTCTGACACGGTGTGATGCGAGCGGTGGGCATGAGATAAATGCCGGAGCAGCTCTGGGCACACCGCAGTTACTCATTTGGACTCATTGGGACAAGTGGCTAACTAGAATCCTCACTGAAGAAATGACAAGAAAGCTCCCTCCGATTTCTAAATTTCCTTCCCGCTCCCTAACTGGTTTTCCGCCACACCCTCCTAATACACCCCGCCCTCCTAATCCAACCCGCTCTTGTAAGCCAACCCGCTTACCCCCTATTGTTCCTCCACCTGCCAGGCCTCTTTCTCCTCCACCTGCCAGGCCTCTTTCTCCCCGACCTGCCAGTCCTCTTCCTCCTCTCCAGAATAATGTAGATTCTTCTGTTTCCCACCCTGGCTGCCACTCCTCTGTGGCTCATGCCCGCCCTCCCCGCTATCCTAACCTAAAACGCTGCAAGCCCTGTCCTTCTATTCATGACATTTCCCAATTCGGTGGTCCCAGAATTCTTTCCAATTACTCACCTGTCTATTCCCCTACTCCTCCTAGCGCTGATTCCCAGCGCTGTAGTTCCAGAACTCCTTCCTGTGACTCCTTTCGTTTTTCCTCTTCTTCTAGCTCTGATTCCCTATGTCGTCCCAGAACTCTTTCCAATTACTCACCTGTCTATTCCCCTACTCCTCCTGCTAGCCCTGCTTCCCAGAACCGTGGTCTCAGATCTCCTTCCTGTAACTCCTTTGTCTACTCCCCTACCCCTCCTGCTAGCCCTGCTTCCCAGAACCGTGGTCTCAGATCTCCTTCCTGTAACTCCTTTGTCTACTCCCCTACCCCTCCTGCTAGCCCTGCTTCCCAGAGCCGTGGTCCCAGAACTCTTTCCCGTCACTATTCCCCTACTCCTCCCTCCTAGCCTTGCTTCTTTCTAGTCCCCAGCCCCCAACCCTACCATCCCCAACTGGACCTGAGAGTCCACAAATCTCATCTTGGAGATGGTTTTCCTGCTCCTGGGACAGTTCTGGGGCAGTTCAGGATGGCCGAGACCGCAGATTCCCAGCAGCCTGACCCGGTGGACAAAGGAAAGGCAAGCGTGATGGCAACCCAGCATTCATCCTGAGTAAGTCACAGGAGCCCTTTCCACAGCCAGGGCCTGGTCACCTTACTGCTATCCATATTTTGCCTTCATTCCCATCTTCTCAATCCTCTTCAGAGACCAGAGACGCCTTTAACAATTTTCTTTCTCCAAACAGTATGGGCCTTTCCTCCCCTGCCTGATCAGCCAGCCTGCCTGAGCTTCTCCATGTGTCCTGGGCTTCTCCATGGAAGTCGGTCTGTAGCCACAGAGCAAACCACAGGGCCGGTGACAGAGAAGGTAGAGGGGAGTGAGGAGTGGGAAGCACCTCACCTGTTCTCTAGAAGGTCAAGTCCTGCCCTGGGTTAAGGTGAGTGCAAGAACCATGACCCCTGACGGCTCACAGGGCACAAGGTCCTGCTATAGATAGATGGAGACTCAGTTTTGGTTTTGTTCATGTTTTTGGGGTCTTGTTTATCCCAGGATTCATTTGTATTTACCCTAGGATTCCAGAACCATGGCAGGGACTTTCTGTCCTTGGGAAGCGTTTCCTGCAGTAGGGGCAGGGCCTCCACTGTGCTCTCACCACAGCGCTGTGGCCTGAGCCTCTCTCATCAGCTACTTCTACCTCACAATGGGGAAGAGAGCAGAGTCTGGAAGGCAAGAGCATGTCCAGATCCCACCCAAATGCCTGCAGCACATGAACCGATGATGCTTAAAAAAGGGCTCTCCTCCGATGGTTATCTAGATTCAACAGAATCTCAATCACAATCCCGCTGTATTTTTGAGAACTTGACAGTTAAAATTTACATGGAAATGCAAAAAACCAAGGTTAGCCAACACTCTCCTAAGACATTCTTCCCACCAGATATCAGAACTCATCAGGAAAATGATAGTAATTAAGATAGTGTCGGAGTGGGGAAAGCATAGGCAAGTAGACAAATGACACAGAACAGAGAGAGAAGGAGACTCCCACATACGCGGGCACTTTAAGACTACAGCAGCAGAGCGGAACAGTGGGGACAGGACTGTCTTTTCAATAAATTGGTGCTAGGTCAATTGGATGCTCATTTGGAAAAAACAATCAAGCTGGATTCCAACCACACTACACTCAAAAATCAATGTCAGGTGGAACAAGGGTCTAAATGCGGAAGGGCAAAAGCAGTAACTATTCCACGATTGCTCTGCCCATTCATGGCTACTGGACACTGGAGGTGTGCTATTAAGTGTAGAACTTGCACTGGAATTTTAAATAGTAGGAAAAACAATGTCAAATGTTTCCATTTTTATATTGAAACTTTGAAATGATACTTTGGATATACTGAGCTAAATAAAATATTAAAATTAGCTTTATCAGATTCCTTTTTCTCTCTTGATGTGGTTACTGGATGATATTGAGTCTAGATAGACAGTATTTAGTGTAGATAGATAATACATGTCTCACTTCCTATTTTTATTGGATGGCACTGATCTATAAGATAACAGAAAAAATATCTTCAGGACATCAAATTAGGAAAAGATACTGTAAGTGGCAGTGAAGAAGCAATAACCATAAAGGGAAAGATTAATTTATCTGACCACATTTAAGGTTTCAGTGTCAAAAAGACAGCATTAAGAGACTAAAACAGCAAGCCACACAGAAAACATATTTGTAGCACAGACGATTCTCAATAAAGAACTTCAACAAACTAATAAACAACCAATCCAATAGAAAAACATTCAACACTGTCTCCCAGACACTCAAATGCACCCCGCAGCACATGGTGTCCAGAATGAATGAATGAACATATGGTGGAGAAGAGCACAGGCTTTAAAATTGGTGTTTAGGGGCTCACTAAACTTGGGTGGCTAATTCCCTCATCCTGGGCATACTTTTGGATCTTTTCAAGTAAATGATACTGTATAAAGTATCTAGAGTCATTCACAGAAACAAAAGGTAAGATGGGGGCTGCAGGGGCTGGAGGGACAGGGAGAGGCAGAGTTGTTTCATGTGCGTGAAGATGTTCTTGGACAGGTTTCATGCAATGTGTACATACTTAACACAACGGTATTGTGTACTACTTAAAAATGCCTAAGATGGTAAATTTTATATTACGAGGATTTTACAACAATAAAATATTTTTTAAAAAATCTCTAAAGTCACCATTTACTTAGAATGGGAAAAAGCCATTCCATCTATGTTATCACATTGGTGATACTGCCACATTGGCCAAAATGTTCTCTCACATCGAAAACCCCGTTTCCTGAGACAGATACAAAGTTTGGATTCTGGATGTCTGCTTTTAAGCGGGAGAGGTTTCTGACTCCTTACAAAATTTCTTTCAGGGAATGACTGGCCAAGCTGAGATCCAGTCCTATGTCCATTGCCTCCCGGGTTGGCCACTGGTGGTGAGTCCTTTCCAGGCCCTGTGCAGGGGCAGTGACCACGCAGGTGCTCAGAAGCCCGGGCAGGTGAGTTGAGCACTGGAAGTGGGTGGGGTGTGAAATCAGATCCTGAGAAGTGGGAGTGGGGAGGGGTGGATGGACAATCAGAACAAGATCTACTCCAGCAGGGTGGTACCACAGGGACATCGCCTGGAGAAAGCATAGGATGCCGTTGCCTGGAGTTGGCAGAAGGCACGGAGCAGGTGGGCAGCAAGGGGGCGCTCGAGTGCTCCTGACCAGAACAAGCAGCGTGGAGGCCACGGTGGGACACCTGAGGGAGAACGAGACCCCAGATGATGTTCATCCGGACCAGATGTTATGGGGACAGCCTGACCAGACTAAGCAGCGTGGACGTCACGGTGGGACACCTGAGGGAGAACGAGACCCCAGATGATGTTCATCCGGATCAGATGTTATGGGGACAGCCTGACCAGACCAAGCAGCGTGGAGACCATGATGGGACACCTGAGGGAGAGAGTGACCTCAGATGATGTTCATCCAGACCAGACGTTATATGGACAGCCTGACCAGACCAAGCAGCATGGAGGCCACGGTGGGACACCTGAGGGAGAACGAGACCCCAGATGATGTTCATCCGGACCCGATGTTATGGGGACAGCCTGAGCAGACCCAGCAGCATGGAGGCCATGGTGGGACACGTGAGGGAGAACGAGACCCCAGATGATGTTCATCCAGACCCGATGTTATGGGGACAGCCTGACCAGACCAAGCAGCATGGAGGCCACGGTGGGACACCTGAGGGAGAATGAGACCCCAGATGACGTTCATCTGGACCAGATATTATGGGGACAGCCTGACCAGACCAAGCAGGGACACCTGAGGGAGAACGAGACCCCAGATGATGTTCATCCAGACCAGATGTTATGGGGACAGCCTGACCCGACCAAGCAGCATGGAGGCCACGGTGGGATACCTGAGGGAGAACGAGACCCCAGATGATGTTCATCCGGGCCAGATGTTATGAGGACAGCCTGACCCGACCAAGCAGCATGGAGGCCACGGTGGGACACCTGAGGGAGAATGAAACCCCAGATGATGTTCATCCGGACCCGATGTTATGGGGACAGCGTGACCAGACCCAGCAGCATGGAGGCCACGGTGGGACACCTGAGGGAGAACGAGACCCCAGATGATGTTCATCCGGACCTGATGTTATGGGGACAGCGTGACCAGACCCAGCAGCATGGAGGCCACGGTGGGACACCTGAGGGAGAACGAGACCCCAGATGATGTTCATCCGGACCAGATGTTATGGGGACAGCCTGACCAGATCAAGCAGCGTGCCAGAAGATGTTTATCCGGACCAGATGTTATGGGGACAGCCTGACCCGACCAAGCAGCATGGAGGCCATGGCGGGACACCTGAGGGAGAATGAGACCCCAGATGATGTTCATCCGGACCAGATGTTTTGGGGACAGCCTGACCCGACGAAGAAGTATGGAGGCCATGATGGGACACCTGTGGGAGAGGGTGACCTCAGATGAGGTTAACCAGGTCTTGTGGGGACAGCCTGACCAGAACAAGCAGCGTGGAGGCCACGGTGGGACACCTGAGGGACAATGCGACCCCAGTTTAGGGTCATCAGGACCAATGTTGTGGGAACTGCACAAACACTATGTGCAGCATCACAAGCGCCCTCTGCAAGGGTGAGGGACCTGATGGGAAGCCCATCAGGCAGGAGAGAGCAGGGCCCTGCTGAGGCTTCAGAGTGAGGATTGAGAGAGAGGGGAGTTCACCCCTGGGAAGAAGGAGCATCCTGGAGGCTTTGGAATGAGGGGTGTGGGTCCCAACGAAGGAGAAGATGACTTCTTACACCCCACCTCCTTTCATAGACTTTAGGAGCGATGCCTTTGGAGGGGGGTCTCGCTCACATCACATCAGATGTATTAAATGTTTCAGCCACATCCCATGAAACATTTTCATTGTAGAAATGAGAGGCTGAATATCTTTTTCTAATTTTGATTTTGAAATATAATTGTATTTTGTAAAATTGTTACATTGTGGTTTTCTTGGTATTCTGGTTTCTTTCTAATGAGCTAAAGGTTTCTACTCAGGCTTCTGATCTTCTCTCAGACCTTCGGAAAGCTCAGGGCTAGGGGCCTCCCTGCCCTCCACTCTCATCAGTGTGCACACTTGGTGGGCAGTCGCATCTGGGCCTGTCACATCAGCTCCCCCTGGGATACTGCACCTTAGATGCAGCTTCAGACCCACACACAAAACCACTTCCCAGCTGCCCTCCCTGAACAACCCACAGGTCCCTCACTTACTGGGTGGAAATCCAGGCTCACCCTGCATCTTCTCCCCTACACTCTGCTACTCTAGAACTAGAAGGTCCTGTGTCTCATCCAAAGGCGCCAGTCAGGTGCTCTCCCTGTTAGAAGCGCAGGACTCATCCCCAAGGTCTCTCCCTCACTCCACACACACAGGGAGACACGAGTCCTGTGGGTTCCCGCACATGAGTCTCACCTGATCCACCTGTTCCCACCCTGGCGAAAGACTCCACTGCGCATGCTTGCATCTCTGCTCACAACGGCTCACCCTCTAAGCAGCACCCCAGTCTGCCTCTCTCCATCCTCACTCTGAAGCCTCAGCCGGGCCCTGCTCTCTCCTGCCTGGATTGGTCTGATGGGCTTCCCAACTACTCTCTTTCCCTCCCAGCCAACCCCTCCACTCCCGCTCGCTAGGGCTAGGCTAGGAGGCCAGTTAGATCACATCAATCTCCACACAAGGCGTCTCATTCCGTCACTCAGGCTGGAATGCAGTGGTGCAATCACAGCTCACTGCAACCTTGAATTCCAACCTGCCTCAGCCTCTGGAGTAGCTGGCAGTATAGGTACACAGCATGCACAACTGGCTTTTTATTTTTTCTGTACAGACAGGACCTCACTATGTTGCCCATTTTGCCCAGGCTGATCTCCAACTCTTGTCTTCTGGCAATCCTCCCACCTCAGCCTCAGCCTCCCAAAGTGCTGGGATTATCTCATATATATATTCGCTTCTCACTTTTGATTAGTGTAAAAAGCCTAGACTGGTTAGAAATTCTGAATTTAAATCCATGCTCTGTGACACTGGATGTTCGCTTTTCTTTTTCTGAACTTCAGTTTTTTTCATCTGAAAAATGGAAATACAACCTGTCACCCCCAGAGAGTCTGTTAAGAATCGAAGATTTGTTTAAAGCATGTAACTCAGAGTAGGGATACAATACACAATGGCCATCATCATCTTATTAGTCATTACCCAAGTTATGAAGCTTCACTTGTTCTCTCGAGATCATTTGAACAGTGTGTTTCCATACTGCCCGCTCCCCATGTCTCTCTTTTCTGATGTCATCGCACATGCTCGGTGATGCTGCTGGCCAATTGTGAGTGTACATTCACATCTGGGTCCTTAGCTCCAGTTCTTCAGCCACCTCTGTGGCCTGGCATAGAAGATTCATAAGACAAGGTGGATCAGGTCAGGTGCAGTGGCTCATGCCTGTAATCCCAGCACTTTGAGAGGCCCAGGCAGGTGGATCATGAGGTCAGAAGATCGAGACCATCCTGGCCAACACTGTGAAACCCTGTCTCTACTAAAAATACAAAAAATTAGCTGGGCGTGGTGGTAGGAGCCTGTAGTCCCAGCTACTTGGGAGGCTGAGGCAGGAGAATGGTTTGAACCTGGGAGGCAGAGGTTGCAGTGAGCTGAGATCACGCCACTGCACTCCAGCCTGGGCAACAGAACGAGACTTTGTCTCAAAAAAACAAACCAACAAACAAACAAAAAAACACAAGGTGGGTGAAAAGATGTGGCACCAGAGGCATAACTAATCCAGAGAAAGGCCACTGGGAGCCCTTCTGGACCTACCAGAGACTCAAAAGAATGCAAGCATTTGTCTTATCTACTTATGACCTGGAAGCCCCCTCCCACGCTTTGAGTTGTCCCGCCTTTCTGGACAAAATCAAGACACGTCTTGCACACACTGATTGATGGTTCACATCTCCCTAAAACGTATAAAAGCAGGCTGTACCCCAACCATCCTAGGCACATGTCCTCAAAACTTCCTGAGGGTGTGTCACATCCATAACTTTGGCAAAATAAACTTTCCAAATTTATGGAGACCCATAAATATGTCAGATATTTTGGGTTCACAGTGGAAAAACTTACTCCCGAGGCCCTCGGCCTCCTGCTGGACAGCACTGACTGAGTCTTCTTTGGTGGTCCCAGGGAGTTCTCAACAGCCCCCCTCCGGTGGAAGAGCACGCAGGCATTCAGTGTCTTTGTGTGTTTGCTTTACTGCATGGCATTAAGAAGTCTAAATAAAAGAAGTTTTCTTTTCTTGACAATCTAAAACAAATGGCCGTGAATCCTACAAGTAACTACTCACTAAATGTGTTATGTGCAAAGTACAGGAAAAATGAGGGTCTTTTTAGGGTATTGCTTAGAGTGGAAGTCAAGGGACCTCAGTTCTGGCCCTAAAATTGATCCCTCACTTGGAGGGTGATACTGGGGAGAAGGGGCAGGCAATAAGAGAGTTGTTCAGTAATAGCATGAGGGAAAGAGGGTAAGTATCCTATGGAAGGCAAATTTCAGCAAGTGGCAATTAATATTTAGAAGTAAGTTCTGTGGCACTGGGTGGGATCAACCCTGGCCTCATTTGGCCATTTCTGCAGACCAGCCAAATCTAGATAAATTTTGGCAGTGATACTCTATTTAATCCTTAAAATTTACCACCATCAAATGCCTGAATACAGAGGCATGATCTAGAACTCTAATACAGTGAATCTAATGGTGGAAATTTGGAAACGCCCCCAGAATATCTCAAAATAAGGCTTCAGAAATGCTAAGATCTCTGCAAAATGGTTTTCAAATAGCGAATTGTGGTTGGGTTTTTTGATATACTTTCCCTCATACATTTTTTGTCCTGGGAGTGGGGGGTTTGGAGGTTAAGATTGCTTTGCCACACTGACTAATCAATACAGTGGTAAAAGGCAGGTGCTAAAAATAGGTTTTCTAATTAATTATGCTCCTACATAAGTTAAAAGAAATTTGAAAATTTTAGTGGACAACTACTTCTTCTGAAACTACTTTTAAGGTTCGATTTCTTTATTAGTTTCTCTTTGATATTCATTTCATCCCCCACCTACTCATGGTTCTACAGCTAGAGCAGCAGTACTAGGAAAAAATAAAGTCCATTCCATTTTCAATTTAAAGAATGCTACTTCCAATTTTATAGAAAACTAAATTAAAAACCAAAACTAATGGAAACTATCCCTTTGTAAATCCTTACCTTAATCATAAACTTTTGCTCTATATATGCTTCGCCAAAGCGTTCACACTCCAGGGCTCGTCATTGAGGTCTAAGTCTTCTGTAACTGTGCCATTCAGTTTACAGCACTTTCCTTTTCCACACCCCCTAGAACCCAGAGATCAGACAAACATGATAAGGTTAAAAACAAGCATCCTTATCCCCAGCATTTTATCTCTATGCTCTGTCTACAAAGCAGCTGACTACCATTTTAAACATCTAAGAAAAATGTAGTAAAAATTATTTCAATTTATAGAATAAACTTTTCAAATTGAAAGGGTAAAACCAGTTATATCCAGCTTGAAAAATCCAGAATGAAATGAGGTCAAAGAACAAAGCCAATATGTCTTGCACCATAAAGGTGAATGTGGATGATAAGGAAGGCAGAGAGAGCAGGGGAGAGGCTGCTGGCCCAGTAGATGAGTGTGCACCGTCTCCGGGGATCCTCCCCACTTGTCCTTCATGAAGGAAGAGCTGGGGCCTGTGTGTGCTGCCCATTGTATATAATGACACTAAGTGCATAGTTTTCTGAGAGCACTTTTTTATTTTTGGGGACCCTCTACCTTCCTGGATCTACACTTCACCCATCTTCACCAATTTCCAAAGAGGAATTCTGCCAAGCCATTCCCGATACTGTAAGACTCCACGTTCAGCATCCAGGGAAAGTGTGCTTTAGCAAAAAGACCATATTCATGTGGATTAATAACAGCAGGACCCAATTAAGTCCGATAATATAGGAAGATGCGATTTCCTAGTTTAATCCCAGAATGATTACCTCTTCAATTTAATTACAGTATCTCAGAAAGGCCAACTCTGGAAAAGCCTAAGTGGCCCCTGGTTTCAGCATTAAACATTTTCCTTCACAGCAATGACAAGGCTTCCCTCTAGGAATGAGGGCTGCTGTGCAGAGAATCTCTCTGTTCATGAGCAGCAGCTGCTTCAGACAAGGGGCTCCTCGAACACCAGGGCCACAGCCTTTCTGATGGTGAATGAAATGTGGAAAAGAAAAAGTTTTTTTTTTTTTTTTTGAGACAGAGTTGCTTTGTCACCCAGGCTGGGATGCAATGGTGTGATCTTAGCTCACTGAAACCTCCACCTCCTGGGTTCAAGCAATTCTCCTACCTCAGCCTCTCAAGTAGCTGAGATTACAGATGTGTGTCACCCTGCCCAGCTAATTTTTGTATTT